ATACTATTTCTGAATTATTAGCTGCTACATTTTGCATTCCTGGTACTTAATTTCATGTGTTCCTCATTGATCATGGCAACTTAGTGACTCATTGGTGGCCGCTGCTTCAGGACGGAGAGATGATGAGTATAAAACAAAGACATTATTGCTCAGTCATGAGTGCTCAAGTTGATTTTTTTTTTTTTTTTAATCCAAAAGAAAAGAAAAGAGTCTGAAAGTCAAAGGGCTTTTGATTTGTCAGAGCCAAATTCTGGAGGCAGAAAGAGCTTTTAGGAATTCACAAACTTTACTATGAAAATCAAGGATCAGAGCCTGGCTGAATTAGGCAGTTTATTCTATAAACCATGAAACTTGGAAAATGCATAAAGATGTCAGAGCAGTTCTCTCATCCACAAGGAGTCAAGAGTTTGATCAAGCAGAAAAGAGAATCAAAGGGAATGCAGTTAGAGCTTAGTTGCAGAGGTCTGAGACATCCTTGGCACCCTTTCTTCTTCAAGGGTTGACACTCTAATTTGGGGTACGGGAGAAAACCCTCGATAGGTTATACACTGCCTATACGACAGAATCACACAGAACAATAAACTCAGAATCTCTGGGTGAGGTCATTGCTTTAATATATTTAATGAGCTGCCTCTGTATTCTTGTCCTCCTTCCTGAATTGACCTAATGTTTAGATAAGTGTTGACAGCCACTGACTCATGGGGATCCCAAAGCAGAAGGACGTAATGTCTACCTTTCCAGTGTGTAGCCAACTTTATAGACAAATTCCCTGCCAACCTCTATCTGCTGACTCCATTCAGCATGGCACTGAGCACAGAATACCTAGGCAGACTAGGGAGCATCTTTCTGAAGATGGCTTAGACTTGACTACTGGTACCTCTCATGCTAGATTTTGAAGAGTCTCAGCTTTCTGAATAAGGGTCTGGTGGACAACTTCAGCAGTTTAAGCATGAACGTGGTAGGAAGTCAACTACAGCTGGAAGGCTGTAAAACTCGTGAAAATGCCTCAACAGAACTCAACACGGGACAAATCTGACTACAGCTACTCATCAGCACTGCTCACAATTCCAATTAATTATTTAGCTGAAAACCTCACAAACACACCAACTCCTAACTATAAAACTGAGCAGTTATTCAATGCCTGTGTGTCCTCACCAAAAAACTATAATCACAATAAAAGCCAGTGCTATCCGTAAATGCACATGAAGAGGACTCATTAGATTCTCAACCTTTTATTTCTGGCTCTTTTCATTAAAAAAAATTTAAAAATTGCCTTAAATTGGTAACAACATAGGACAAGTTCTGCTCCTATGTAGTAGTAGCAGTTAGATCAATTTTGAAAGAGCCCCAAGAATCTTTAGGAAATGGAATTACAACAAGGCCTTCAGAAATATCCAGGTAAGGATAGAGAAGAGTGGAAAAATCTCCCAGAGTACCCCGGACCTGACCTGCATAGTAACTACTGGTGACACATGACTCTGGAGCACTTAAAATGTGGCTAGTTCTGAATAGGGACATGCTGTAAGTATAAAATACCACACCAGATTTCAAAGACTGAAAAAAAGAATGTAACATATCACTTAAAAATTTTTTTATATTGATAATATGCTAAGATGATATCAGTTTGGATATTAAATACCTTTGGCCTTTGTAATGTTTGAATTCCAGCAATGGATGAACAGTATGCCATTTGGCTTTCTTGATGAATAACATCTGAATATCTGGATAATGAATAGCCTTAGCATTTACAGATTTAATGACATTTCAATTCAAGTATTAACACACTACCTTGAAAGTTTAATTATATAGATATTTAATATTTTTCTGAAATATAAATTTATACTGCTAACACTGTACAGTCTATGTTCAGTTACCTAACTAGTTAGCTGGCCACAAAATGATCAAGCCAATTAGAAAGCATTAAAATCTCAAACTGACTTAGTTGGAAAGATACTTTTTGGTTACGTCATCTTTAAATCTCATAAAATAATAAACACTGAATTCAAAAGTTCATGGAAAATGTTACCACAGGAATAAGGCACTAAATGGCAGGATTTAAAAGCCCTGTTTTATAATTATAGCATCATTAAGTACTGCAGAAAAATTATTTTTACACACTTTATGTTGGAAATCAACTCTCAAACCACATAGTGATATTTGTAAATACAGGGGTTTTGACATCTTAGGATACATCCCTTTCAGGTGGTATGTTTCTACTATTTGCACAAGCTTTGCTTTGTAGGAATTCTTGGTCTAGGAAGCCTCAAGTTATCTAAAGGAGAACCCTTGAATCAATCTGGAGAAACCTGCGAAAACTTGAATGGGTGTTCCCATGGATATGTTATATTAATTTAGAGAATTCATGTGGAGAATTCAAGTCTCCTTGACCCACAAGGATATCCCAAGGTTTCTGCTGCTCCTCCACAAATGAAATATAAATTTACCCATCCCCATTGCCTATCCTTTGCTAAATAAAAAAGATCATGATGGGGCCAGCAGCAAACTATAGCATTCTAAGAAGTAATAAATCTCTTCTTCTGGTCCTTCTCACCTAGCCCAACCCAACCTATCTTAGCAGCATCTAACAAGACAGCAGTTTCCATCTTTCCCGTATGTCTGCTTCAACAAGACTCTGATTCCAACAGCAACTTTACTTTTGCTGTGAAGATATGAGAAGACTCATATGATGAAATGAGCATGAGACAAATGAACCAAAGAGAAAACGCAAGAATGCTTCTGAATGCATCTTAGCATTTCACTAAATAAACCCAGGAAAGCATAGCTCTATTTCAATAGGCAACTGGAGCTAAAGGAGGAGGGGGACGCCAGGAGGGGTCCAACTCAACCAAGCTACATGTTGTTAAACTAGCTCAGTGTACTTCACTTAGCATGCACATACTGACTCTCCTAATAGTGCTCACAATACATTTGGGTCTAGGTACCTCCTGAACCCTAATAAGGTACTGCTATGGTTTGAATATCTACCCCTCTAAAACTCATGTTGAAACTTAATCCCCAGTGTAACAGTATTAAGAAGTGGGACCTTTAAGAGGTGACTGGGGCCATGAGGGCTATGTCTTCATGAATGGATTAGTGGGTTATTGCAGGATCAAGTTAGAGATCACAAAAGGGGGTCTGTTACAAAAGCCAGCTTGTCCATCTCTCGTGAGCCCCCTCACCATGTGATGCCTTACACAGTCTTAGAACTCTGCAAAGAGTTCCCATCAGCAAGAAGGTCCTCACCAGATAAAGGCCCTAAACCCTGGACTTCTCAGCCTCTAGAACTGTAAGAAATAAATTTTCTTTATAAATTACCCAGTCTCAAGTATTCAGTTATAGCAACAGAAAATGAACTAAGACAGACAAATACATACACACACACACACACACATTCTCCCTGAATTCTCACAACTTGCTAACTATTCCTGTGTGGCTTCTCTCTCAAGGCTCTGCCTCCCATTTAAGATCCAATTCCTTCATTTTAGAATTGGTGTTCTTTATGTCTGGTTCTCTAGCAGATACTTCTATCAATAATCAGCTTTCCCCAGGCAGAGATTCAACCCTTTACCATATGGAAAAAGTACAACTAGAAGTTGTCCTTTTCTTCTCTCATCACTTATATCTCAATGACTACCAAGATGAGTCAATTCTAGTCTTTAAATCTTTAAGTTCTTCCATCCTTGCTTTCCCTATTGTCATTGCCTAAGTTCTGCCCCTCATCACCTTGCCTGAATTAGTACAAATTTTCTAACAGGTCTCTCTGCCTCCAATCTCATCCCTCTCCAATCTTAAGTATAAATGTGACTGTCTTTTTCTTGCTTAAAATCCTTCAATCATAGTTTGGCACATACATCTCCACAAGATTTGTGATCTGTTTACCTCTATAGACATAGCAACTCTCTAAGAGTGCCATGCTTTTGTCATATCTTTATAAGCTTTCTACTTGGGAATACCCTTCCCAAACTTCCCACTTCATGTGTTTCTTTATTCATATCCCCTAGAGCTATGATCCATTTGTTCTGAAAGACTTAGTTTAACCATTTTTTAGCCTAGTCTGAGTTTAATAAGTCTTCTTTGTGCCTCCACAACACCTTGCGCATGTGTCTCACAGCCTTTATTATTCTCTATTATATGCTTGTTTACTTACTTGCTTTACTCACTAAAAACTAAGTTCCTAGAAGTCAGCTATCTTTCATTTCTATGTTCTTGGTCCTTAACAATCTACTGAATCAAGTGGTGCTTAATTGTATAGTTGCTAAAATAGTAAAGTCACTAGATTTTAGTGAGAATGGAAATCAGAATCCATAGTCTTCTCTACTATACCTAGGTTGCTTTAAAAACATTAGTTAAGGTCATAGATATTATTATTACACCTCATGACTAGAAATAACAAAAATTATGCATAAATGGGCACAAATATCTTTATCACTAACACTAGTGCCTGGAGTTTGCATACATGTACTTTATCATTTAATCCTCACACCAATCCTGTTGTAGAAAGTCGTATTACTTCTTTTTACAAAGGTGAGGCCTCTATCTTGCCCATGTCCAGAGATGGTAAGACTGTCTCCAGAACCCATGTTCCTAACCGCTACCCTACAAAACTCAATACTTTTTACATTATGAAGACTGTGCTTCAAAAAAATTTATTAGTCTTCTTTGAGAAACATAATGGAATGTTACTAAATACAACCTAAATTTAAAAAGTTATTGATTACACACTAGCAGATCATCCCTCCCCAAAACTTAACAGCTCTCCAAACATATATTTCAATTACAAAATTTACATATAGGTTTTACATTAGAAATGTCAGAGTACATCTTTACTTATGGTTAAGGTAATGAAGACAGATCTCTTTGTCCCTTACTACTACAGACAGTTATTTCTTAAGTTATTACAGAATTTTAACTAATAATTCTGGATTCAATTTTATGGGAATGGATATATAAAAATAAAGAAGCCATAACATTAATTAATTCATGTAATTTTTCAGCATTCAGATATTTCTCAGTTTTATTGTAATATATTGTCAATTTCTAGACATAAAGGAGGATATGACAAATTTCCCTGAAAGCATTCTACTTTTTTTTTCCCATTTCTAAATAACGGGATAATATAGCAATATCATTTGGAAGATTTATTTATTAAAATATCAATAACGAATTGTTCCATTTTAGCTTAGAATATACTAATACAAGTTACTCCTACAAGGTTTTCTCTATTTCTTGTGATTGATGCTTTTGATACCTTATTTAACAGGAAAACACTTTCTAATAGAAGAAATTAAGAGGTGTTACAGAAAGTTGTAGAGACCATGAATAAAGCAACAGAGGTAAATATCTATTGTTACCGTGATTTTCAATGAAACCCACATAAATGTTATCACAAAGAAATAAAATGTAATGAACTGGGGTAATAAAGATCAAGATCATCATCAAATTCCGAAATCTCTTTTTATCTCCTTATAGGGTCTGCTAACAGGTACTCAAAATGATGTTGACTAATAATGAAACTTTTTTGAGATTCTGGTACCAGGTTTACTGAAAAGAGGATACAGGCAGAAGTGTTAAGTTTACCAAACATAAATCATAAGTACCTATCAATTTCAACCTATCAAATCAGCAAAAAGGCATAAGAATTTAGTAATAGGAAAACAGTCGTTTCTGGTGCCAAGACTAGGGGTCTTGACAGGTGCCTCGCGGTCCAGGGCAGAACTAAGAAACACAATATTGGTTAACAGATACTGCAGTTTCATTTAAAATTTTTTCATTTATTTCTGGGATGTCAGTTTATACCATACTATTCTTTAGTTTATAGCATACTTTTCTTTGCCTCTCTATAAACAAGCAACCAAAAATCTATCTTATTTATCTAAAATTAATGATAGATTAAATATCTCAAAATAAACCAACTCTCCTAAATACAGTAATGTTGCATTTTCAACTAAAACTAAATATTATTATAACATATCTGGCTTTCTTCAACGTCTTTCACTTTCCACAGAGAATCAGCTGACTTAGGAGACCATATATTTCCCATTTAATACAGTAATTCTGTGATTGAAAAAGACTTTTCAGTTTCTTAGCTAAGTGTAGCATTCACAGAATATGGTATTCAAAGTATTGTTTGGATAAATTACTACCAAAAAAGTTTTACCAGCTGTTCTTGAATATGAGTTACTACTAGGGGTATACCAAGTAGCAATTTCCTCTAAAGAAAACCAAGCAGCAATTTAGTTAGAGAATGAAAAGATCTAGGTAGAAAAACAATTAGACAGTAAAACAGATAATTTAAGTACTGTTATTCACAACACAGCCAAGAAAAAAATCAGAAGTTATATACTTCAGGATAAAAAGGGATGGGCCGAAGACAAAATATTGCCATGCTAGAATTTTTTTTTAAACTAAGAAAATATCTGTACAAGAACAAGAGACACTGAATAAGGGTACCTCACATTTAACCACTCATTGGCAATATATACTGAATTCACCTTAGGATAAATCAAAATTGCAAGAAAATGGCCCAGATGAACTAGAAGACTTCTAGCATGTAACAAACTTACTCATATTTAATAAGCATCATTTACTTCTATATAGTTTTACATAGTTCCCAACAATCTGATTTATATGGAAACTTTATCTGTGAAAGAATAAGATGATTTAGATATTGTTATCAATGCATAGTTGCAGAGGTCAACTAGATGATAAATTTGATTATTCTTGAATTAAAAAAAAACCCAAGTGTCATGCTGTTTTCAAATGTAGCTTCTTATTGGGAAAATTCCCTCTTCTACTCTCCAAGTTAGTACATAAAGTAAGGTAATATTTACATTGAATTTACAGTCTTTTTCATTTAAAAGAATACCCCTATACCTTGCTATAAGAAATTAATTTAAATGATTGCTCTTAAACTTCCCTATAGCCAAATTTAAAAATACAGCTGAGTCAAACAAGTTTTGAAAAGGAATCTGCCTTTTTTTTTTATTAACTCATTCAAACTAAAATCTTTGAAATACATACTGCAGACATACTGAGGGTATCTCTCCTCATTCATTTTGGGGCTACGTTCTGTAATAGTAAAGTGTCTTGTGGGTGAAAATTGAAGTAATTGTATAACATTTATTTAATAAAAGAAATATAAGACTCGCACTATGAAACCAAAACCTATATATTATATAATATGACCTTTTTAATATTGTTTTGCTATCACAAAAAATCAGTTATAGAAGCCATTATTTATATTTCAATCACAACATCGCTCTTAAAATACAACCTATAATCTGATTTGTAATCAGATCTGAAAAACATATATTAAGACTATGCTTAGTCTATTTCTCTGGCAGAAAGTAAAACAGAATAATTTTACTTTCTGTTAAACATTCTGGCAAGAAAAAAAAAGCCAGATCAAAGTAAGATGAGGAATCAAAATTGGCAATAAATTCATCATGGACAAAGACTGGCACTAAAGTGAAATTTCAGAACATATTGCTCTCTATATACGCACTGTGATCTTATTTGAAGATGAGTATTTACAAAGATTCTAGAAAGCTATAACCACCAACTTGATAGCCTAGGCTTTTGATCTTCATCATGTCCTCATAATATTTCATTATCAGTAGCTTCAGCTCAATGTTTAAGCATCTAATGTGATTTTATGTCCTACTTACACTATTCAGTGTTTGCATATAGATTCACAAATACTATAAGTGATATTATATAAAATATCACTTATAATATTTTCCAGAATAATGACCTTGACTTTGAATAGAAACTGGAGCATTTGGGCTTTAAAAACACTTTCTTTTTTTCAATTTCTAAATTGTTCTTTTCAGGAAGTCACTGATGGAGACAAAATTTAAAGTAAAAATGCCAACTTTTGTAAATTTTAACAAAAAAGGCATTTCTATAAATGGATTTAAGTAAATACTGTTCTAGACAAATACAATAATCAAGTAGCACTTGACAATGGCAAACACTGAACTTTCTTTAAAATCACGGGAGTATCTATTGTAGCAGCTGCAGCACAGACCCTAACACAAACAGAAGCTAAATTAGCAGGACTGTGAGAGCATGGTACAGGGTAAAGAAGAAAACGTGACCATAAGCCAATATAGTTTAAAAAGTAAAGTTAACAAGTAAACTATATTGAAAATCAACTTTCAGAGGAATACAGTTAATTACCACAGCTGTATTGAATCTCTTCCTTTAAGAATGGAAGACAAAATAATTCTTATCACAATATACCAGTAATAGAAAACAAATCAATTATTCACATTCTAAGAGGTTTTACTTGAGGGGATTGTGCAGGAGGGAATGAAAGCTTACAAAATTGAAAATATGAAATAAAATAAATTCAAATTAAGATTTCATATTAATAGAAAAATTTTTTCCAATATTTCCCTTGAGGGAAGAATATTTTCCATAACTGGTTAAAAAGCACCTATGAAACTGTGCTGTCAGCTGTCACAATGGAGGTTTTGGATTCTTTTAGCAATTGCAGCATAACAAAAGGCATTTCACAGCGTAACTTTAGAGAAAATGTTATCTGATCTAGAATCACACAGAAAGCAATTAAAAACTCTTTTAATTATTTATAATACACAAATTTTTCTGGGTAGCAGCAGTTGCTCCTGTACTTGCCCTTTTAAAAAAATATGAAACAGAAGCAATAGAATAGGGAAAAAAAATTAGAGAAGACTAACAGTAGCAGCATTAAATAAAAAAGCAAAATTTTAAATACATTAAAGAAAGCTTCAAAAAAGGAAACAGTTTTGTGCAACTTTCAATTATACCAAGTAAAGTGCACTACCTAAATATTCACTGATAACATTTTCCCTATGTTGAAAAGACAAAATCTACTTATCAGTATTTTTTCATATTAAAAAAAAAAAAGACATTCACTATTGTAGTCCTGACAGCTCTCTTCCAGTATTTTTAACCATTCAGATGTATTTTGTGGGAATATTTATTCACATAATTTTACTTAATACATTTCTTTCTACACAAAACTGAATTTAAAACTCTCTATATAACATTTTCAATTACAGTAATAACACATTAATAAATTATAAATTAACAAAATCTTCATATTTGCTTTGAAAAAAATCATTTATCAAATGCTAACCTCCAGATTTTCTGGAAAATTAAAGATGCAAATTGCTATAAATCTGGAATCCCAATTAAATTCTGATTTTTAAAAGTATATAAAATCTCCCTCAAATTATTCCAAGTTCCACTCCAAAAATTTTTATTTTATCCTTTTCTAAAGTTATTAAGTTTACAACTTGCTAAACATTCTACCCGAATGAGGGAAAACTGCCTGGAGATGCAAAGCACAAGAAAATAATTACATGAAAAGAACAAACAAAAAATACCCGTTAAAACAAAGTTATTGTAGCTGGCAACACTTAAAATTGGTAATTTGTATTTTTTCAAAAGTTGCATAGCTCCAAGATGATGCACTGCTGATTAAATATTGAGCAGTTTTATTTAAGAGGAAACAATATATTTAATAAACTGCAATTCAGTAGACAATTCTATATTTAATTAATTAAAATGTAATTATGTAACTTGATTTATTCTTTGGACTGCATTCTGATAATATTAAACCTTTAATTTAAAAATATTAGCATATTTTAGCTTTCCTATGTAGAAGTCTATTTTCCACTCTTAGGGGGAAAAAATGGAAGAACTTCAGATCATGGTCTACATTCAGAGAATGTTTTTACTGCTTGATTACATTTCTTGGTTTCACATTTAAGACTTTAGTTTATAAGAAGTAAATTATGTGGTTTTTCAATTTAAGAATAGATGAATGCAGAAACATTATGTTGGGGAAAATAAAGAGACCCCAAACTAAAAGGCAAAACAAATCAAAACAGAACTAGTTGCACAGCTCTAGAGAACTTAATAAAAAGTAAATCAACTTTTAAATCAGTTAACTTTGGCGTCTGAATACAAAACATTTATCAGTATTACCTATGTAGATGACTAATAAGGGATGTGCAGCATTTTCAAAATCCCTGTGTGTCCTTGATATGCATGTTTGGTACACTGAGTTCTGTGATAACTGTCCTCTCTGCAGCAGGGCTTTCTTCCTGTATGATTGTCCATCTCTGTATTACCAAGTCTCACAAAACTCAGATTTCTGGCTGAGTATCCCTGTGTTTTTGTTTCTCCAGAGACATGTCTTCATATCCTCTCAGTTTTTCAAGCATCTTGAAAAGACAAGAAAACCTGTGTAAAATAGATAAATTCAGTTTAAGCAGTGGCCCATAATAGTAACAAATCAAAACATAACATCCATTTCGCCATGAATATTGCTTTAGTAACAATAAATTTTCATTTCCTTACTATTCCAAAAACTCATAAAACCAGTGTGCTTGCAGAACAGCTCAAAACACAAAAGCACCAATTAAAGCTCAAAATAGTCACAAAAAAATATCAAATACATAACAGTCATTCCCTTTCCACAACAAAGACTATACCAAAGAATGCATACTTTTAATTTTTTAATATCTCCCCCAAATAACTAAAAACTCCAAAATAAAAATAATAAACTATGCTCAGATATGGACCCTAAAGTCCTTGTAAAAAAAAATAATAAACTATTTCCTAACTAGTCAGGACCTCCAATATTCATGTATCTATTTGGAGCTGATTATGAAATTCTTACGTTGACAGATATCAGAAATGCTGAGCTTTGTTGCTACATATTGCCCTTTTTTTTTTTTTAATGTTTTAACAACACTGAATCCTCTTTAAACCCATATGCTTTTAATCCAAGACTGCTTAAGGTATACAAAGAATTTATCATTTGACAAATAAGAACACTCAGGACAGAATCAAAACTGTGAAAGAGACAAGATACTCCATATCTATAAATTCTTAAAAATGACTCTTCAAGGCCCATAGAGACAGATCCCATTGGTTCAAATATCTGTGGGTAGCTAGGACAGTTCAACTTGCCCCATATAATAAACTAGTTTCAAACTCAGCACATACACACACACATAGACAGAACATTCATATGTGTAATATAAGGAAATGAAAGTTCTATTTAAGACCAATAGGCATATGTATTCTGACTATGAGAGTAAGATGCATGTTCCACATATCTGATAAGCTCACTGATCAGATGATAAAAGAAAAAATGTATACCACATAAAAAGTTTATTGACTCTACTGTGGTCTGAATGTGTATTCCCTTCACAAATTTGTATGTGGAAACCTAATCTCCAGTGCAAGAGTATTAAAAGGTGGAACCTCTGTGAGGTGATATGGTCATGAGGGCTCTGTCCTCATAAATGGGATTCGAGTTCCTATAAAAGAGGCTTAAGGGAGTTTGTTGTCCCTTCTGCCATGTGGGCACACACAGAAGGCACCATAATGAGGAATGAGCTCTCACCAGACACTGAATCTAACGGCGCCTTGATCTTGGACTTTCTAGCCTCCAGAACTGTGAGCAATAAATTTATGTCATTTAATTTATAAATGTCAGTTAATTTATAAATTAACTATGCAACGTATTTTGTTACAGCAGCCCAAATTCACTAAGACAGACTCTAAAGAGACAAATTCTACCTATAGGTGAAGGAGACATATTACTTTGACACATAAAATACTATGATAAAAATTCATTTTATTAGCATTGGTTTTTAGTACTTCTCTTAAAATGCTTCTATAATTTTAACCATAGTTTCACTTTATTGGCTCAGACATAAGGTGACACCAAAGACATTCCAAAGCATTCTCCTTTTCAAAAAAACCTTTTCCATAGTGAAATAAACACACATGTACACATACACTCAAAATACCACTTCATCACTACACTTCTCCACCCAGCAATCTTACCTCAATTCATATTTTAAATGTGTTAGGGTATGATATGAATAAGTTCATAGTAAAAGGTTCAAAAGCTGATGGTCTTTTATTTTACTTTAATATAGTTTATCAAGGCTTTCTTATTTCACATGAACAGCCCTACTATTAATATGACAGAGGTTTCATTCAATTGCAGTTATCATTTCAGTTGCTATGGCTGCCTTAAGTTACCTGAAACCTCTTGTCAATATTCTTATCTGCTACTCTCAAATTATCCTCATCAACAGAGCAACAGAATTCCTTGAGTATGTTTATTACCTCAACACTTACATTCTCAAGTTTAAGAGCAGAAGTTATTGAAATAAAAGGAAATTGGGGGACAGCATAGGACTAGACCTTAGGACATCATCTGCTCTAGTTCCCTGTTTTCGTTCTCAGCCTTTCATATTATCTGTTACTGTCTTCAGTCTCTGAACATAGAGGCTCTAACTCCTGAAACAATTCCAGGATTAGCTAAAATGTTCTGCCTTAATGTAACAATCCAATACTTTACATTATTTCTGTCTTTTCATAAAAGCTTTTCATATATTTGAAGACAGCAATTAAGTTAACTTTTATTTTTTCAAAGCTAAATGATGCCATTTAATTTATAATACTTCATGAAATATGAAAAAAAGCAATACTCAAGTATCATTTAATTCACTAAACATTTTCAGATAATGCAAAAAACAAAAACCAAACCATGAATTAGCTTAATCAGTGGAGCAAAACTAATTCTTTATTCAATCTTAAAACTCAATTTGGTTTTATTTTTTGCCTATTACACAGACAGGCAATTTATTACATGCCAAGGATACAGAGGTGAATAGTTAAACTGAATGAATGAATCCATGATTTAACTTTTTAAAGAAAATGCTCCTACCTAATAATAGCAAAATTGCTAAGAACAGTCCTTAGAGCCACAATGCCCGGGTTCAAATCTTAACTCCAGCAAATAACTAGCTATTTTGACCTTGACACATCAAGTTGTGTAAACTTTCTATACTTAATTTCTTCATCTGTATAACAGGAATAGTAATAGCACTGCACTCAAAGGATTGTTGTAACAATTAGATGAGTTGCTAATAGATGTAAAATGTTTAGAACAATATCTGGCACATAATAATGCTAAATGATCAGAATTATATTATCTAAGAACACACCTGGGAAGTTATGGATAAGAATATGTAATTTGATTCTATTGGCTAACTCCATGACCTTAGACTCTTGATGCAACTTGCTTGGGTTTTTTTTTTTTCCTTAAACCTCTTTATTGAGGTATGACTGACATATAAAAAGCTGTACATATAAATATACAACTTGATGAGTTTGGTACAACTTGCTTTTGAAAGTAATGGAATTTAACCACTCTGACCCTCAGGTTTCTCACTGGGAAAATAAAGTCATAATATGTATTTCATGGCTTTTGTTTAGTATTAAACTAAAATTAAATAAGTGAAAGTATTTTCAATATCAAGAATATAGCATTTACTCAACATATTATTAACATATTTTTAAATGTGAGTTTTCTATGCAGTAGCCTAATAAAGTGTCTGAAACATACATATACATACATGCATATGACTCAATGAATAAAAATAATGATTAAGAATGTGTAATTCAGGATAACAGTTTAAAAAGTAATTAAAACAACAAAAAGGGAGAATTACCTATAAAACAGGAATCTGATGCTTAATCTGAAGGGTGCTCAGGGCAGGATCTATTTACTTCAAACCATTCATCTATGCAGCTAGAAATGAATAAGATCAGAAAAATTAAAATAGTTACATTTAATTACTTTTGTTATGACAGCCACAATAAAAATGCTTACACTTCTTGACTTTAATATATCTTTGTAGCAAAAAAAAAAAATCAACATTTTTAACGATCATATGTGGCAAACATAAATAAAAGATAAGAATATGTTTATTATGTTTTTTGTTTTTTTTTTTAAGTTTTTTTTATCAGTTTCTTTTTTTTTTTTTTGAGACAGAGTCTCACTTTGTTGCCCAGGCTAGAGTGAGTGCCATGGCGTCAGCCTAGCTCACAGCAACCTCTAACTCCTGGGCTCAAGCAATCCTCCTGCCTCATCCTCCCGAGTAGCTGGGACTACAGGCATGCGCCACCATGCCCGGCTAGTTGTTTTTTCTATATATATTAGTTGGCCAATTAATTTTTTTCTATTTATAGTAGAGATGGGGTCTTGCTCTTGCTCAGGCTGGTTTCGAACTCCTGACCTCCAGCAATCCGCCCGCCTCGGCCTCCCAGAGTGCTAGGATTACAGGTGTGAGCCACCGCGCCCGGCTTTGTTTATTATGTTTTGATGATTCTAAGCCATTAAGGAAAAAAAAATCTTTGCAAAATTATGCTATGAAGTACTTCAAAGTTCAAACAAAACTATCCCCAAAAAGACAATCTATAGAACTATCACTTTACCAATATTCAAAATTAAATGAAAAATTTAGATAGATATTTCTCTTCTTAAAAGTTATTCATTTATGTATATACAACCTGTTTGTGTTATCCATAATGTAATAAAAAAACAGCTTTTAAATTTTAATCCTTGCCAAAATTTCATCACATTTTAAAAGACCATATTTATGTGATTATTTAATATTTTAACTCTATCCCACTCTGCAATACAGTTTCGTAGTCACACTAGCCATATTTCAAGTGCTCAACAGTGACATGGCTCAGGCTTCTTTATTAGATAGTACAGATATAGGACATTTCCATCACGGTAGAAAGTTCTATTTCATAGTGCTGTGACAAATGATAAAATCAAGATCTTGAAAGGTTAAGTAACTTGCCTAACAGTTAGTAAGTTCAGGATTCAAACTGTGATTCAACATTTTCATTGGCGACTTATGCCAAATTTGCATATGCCACAAAGCCACAAGGTTTGGCTGATATGCTGAAGGGCAAAATTAATATTTATTGTTCTTGTATCCTGACAAGTTGATTTGGTAGATGAAAATGACTGATGAAATTAAAAAGAAAAAAGGTAAAGTATCTCATCCACATGTTCTTCAAAATATCTAAATTTCTGAAGACTTCTCTAAATACATCCCCAATTTGGCTTATGACATTGTCTTCAGCCTGCTGTCTACCACTTAGCTCTAGAGTCCCCTGGTCTACAAGAATACCTCTTAAAATGAAGTACTAAGAACTAAACAAAATGCTCTAGATGCATTAACTCACAGTGTATCTGAATAGTACCTAGGTGTGATCTATTAATAAAATGGGTATTTCTTATTTTAAAACCATGTAAATTTGGCTCGTCATGAGAAGTAATCATTTAAAACCTCAGGCCCTTTACATATAACCTGCTATCAATCCATTTATGTTCCATTCTAAACTATTTTCATTGGTGGTTATTTAAAATATTATTGTCCCTTCTTCTAGCCCTAGCAGGAAATGACTATCCTGAATTTGGTGCTTTTCTTTCTTAGGCATTTTCTTACTCTGTAACTATGTAAGTCTGTTTTCTAAAACTACATATAGTACTATTTCCATGTTTAAATTTTTATATAAATGCTACCATAAAATAGCATTATGCTTTTTCTAACTTGCTTTTGTCAATTTGTTTGAATTTTGGAATTGTTAATAACTCTCATTCTGACATTTTCATTGTATACAGTATTCCATTACATAAGTATATCACAATTTATGTATTCATTTTCTTACTGATGGAAATTTTCAATGATGCTATGAACATTCTTTGACATAAAGGGCTTGCACCAGAATATAAGTTTTTATTTTTTTTTATTTTTTGCAGAGATGGGGGTTCTCCCTATGTTGCCCAGGCAGGTCTCAAACTCCTGGCCTCAAGCAATCCTCCCACCTAAGTCTTCCAAAGTGCTCGGATTATAGGCATCAGGCCACCTCACCCAGCCCCAGAACATAAATTAGTTTTGTTACAAATCACACCATTTTAATTAAGTTTTGATTTAGTTAGTTAGTTAGTTAGTTAAATCATAGCAAGAGTTTCTCAATGAATGAAGCATTGTGCTAATTTATATTCCGTCACAAGCTCCTTATGTCCTTTTTACCTGCACTTTGGGTTGCAATACTGTCCTAGAGCAAAAGATCAACAATTTCTCTAGAAGTGAACTTTCTCTAGGGGTGAGTTTCACCTAAAGGTGAAATTATTGAGTTGTAGGATACATACTACACACACCTATTACAGAGTTAGCCACCAAGTATACCAACCTATATTTGTATATTTTTTGGCCATCTCGGGTTCTTTTTCTTTTTTCTGAATTGACTGGTAACAATTTTTGTCAAATTTTCTATTTTGATTTGTTTTTTTCCTTATAGATTTGTAGGAAGCTATTAGCCAGGTAATTCAGCTATAATGCAATATACATGTTTTTTATAAACCTTACTTTCCACAAAATTGTAAACTAAAAATAACAGGGATTATGGGGAAAAATCAGTTTAAAGGTAGACCACTCAACACAATTTTATAACCAGAACAAAGACATGTTTATTCCTCATAAATAAAATACTACATTAAATATGCTTTTAAAAAATGGTGAAGTTAGCCTCACAGAAAGGATTAAAGAAGGATTGAGACTGCTGGGTTATGAAGACAAAAGCCAATGCACAAAACATGAAAACTGTGAAATAAGCACCTACAAAAAAAAGGCCATGGTCTAACTACAGTAAGAACATGGGGAGATGGATATCCTTATAGTACTGTATTCTTACACAGCTTGCTGTGTTAGCATACATGCTTTCATCTTGCTGTTAACATAAGGGAGCAAAACATTAATATGCTGGGAAATATTATGTATGAACCAGTAAGATCATGTTACTGATACTGTCTTCATTCTCTCTTTTACCAAATGCAATGAGTTAACTGTATTACAGCAAATCAGTGAAGGAGACTATTATTTCAGATACCAAACCTTTATTGTCATGAAAAACAATCTCCATCTAAGGTTTTGTTTTTGGCTTTTTTGCAGTGTCATACAAATAAGTTTTAAATTTAATATATAGCCAAATTTATCAATCTTTAAGTTTTTCATTGGGGGTATGGTTTAGCTTAGACAAAAAATAATTCCTTCCCAAGAGGTCAAAAATATTTCCCTATATTCTTTCCTTACCATTTTAAAATTTGATTTTCATAAGCAGGTATTCAGTTGAGCTAGAATTGATGTTTACTTCAAATGTAAGATAGGGATACAAATGTTTTTCCATATCAATAACCAATTGATCTTAGTACCATTTATTGAATTCCTTGTCTACTACATTATAAGGCCATCTCTAGCAAATCAATAATTTCATTCATTCTATCCAACAAACATTTATATAGCTTCTATTATATGTCATCAATTTCTAAAATTGAACTCATTTAAACCCTCATAACTCTATAAAGTTGGTATTATCATCTCATCTTACAGATTGAAAGAGAGAAAAACTAAGTAACTTGGCCAAGATCCATACAGCAAATTAGTGGAGGGGCTGAGATTCAAATCTTGGGAGTCCAGATTCCAGTGTCCATGCTTTTAACCTCCATGCTATGCCGTTTCTCCATATAGGTATGGATGTTTATAAACTCTATTCTGTTCCATTGGCTTACCTGTCCCATTTCCACACTGTCTTAATTAATATGGTCTTATAATAAATTTGTAAACAACAAGTCCTGCCAATATAATGTTCTTCTTCATGAGTGTTTTGACTGTTGGTGGCCCTTTGCTCTTTGGTCCATATATATTTTTAGAATCAACTTGTCAAGTTATGGGAAAAAAACTAGTTGAGATTTGATTGGGCTAGTATTAACTATCTAGATTAATTTGGGATAAAATCACATCTTTATGACATTGAGTCTTCCAATCTACAATGTGGTATACCTCCACATTTACTTTGGATCACCTATGATATATTTAAATAAAATTTTTAAATTCAGAGACATTTCTCTGAATGTCTTTTGTGAAATTTATTCCTAATACACCTCTAGCCCTTGTAGTTTCTGTTGTCATTATGTTACTATTTTTTTTAAAGTTATATTTTCTTTTTTCTTATTGAGATTTTGGGATACGAATGCAACTGATTTCCATATGTTTACCTCATATCTGGCAATCTTGCTGAACTCATTAATTTTAATAATTTAATGTTTATTTTAGCTTTTGTTTTAAAATCCTTAATATGTTAGCATAGAATTTTATTGGAAGCTTTCTCATATTTATTGAGTTAATTTAATAGTCTTTCTCCTTTGATTTATTAATGTAGTAAGTTTCATATAAATATATATGTATTTTCAATCTTATAGGGTCTTGCTCTTGCTCAGGCTGGTCTCAAACTCCTAACCTCAAGTGATCCTCCCACCGTGGCCTCCCAGAGTGCTAGCTAGGATACAGGCATGAGCCCCTGCACCTGGCTCTGCTGTTACTTTTCTAATTTAAGTTAGAAACTTGGCTTATTGATTTCCAGCCTTTCTTTCTAATGTAACACAAACTTTCCAAAAGATAACTAAATATATGTCAAAAATTTTTCATTATTCAGTTCTGAGTATTTTCTAAGTTCCATTATTATTCTTTTTGATCTAGAACTTACTTTGAAGTATATGTGAGGATTATTTATATTTTTATTATTGACATCTAATAGTAGTCAGAGAACAGCATCTTGTACAGTACCAATTCTTTGTAGTTTGCTGAAACTTGCTTTATGGCCTAGGACATAATCAATTTCTATAGTACTCCATGTGTGCTTAAAAAAACATGTATCCCCTAACTGCAAATACATACCCATTAGATCAAATTTATTACCTGTATTTCTCATTTTCCAAGTTTTGATTTATTTTTTGTGTGTACGGCTTGACTCAATGAGAGTTTGTGTTGAAATTTCCCATTTTTCAACTGATGAGTGTATTTCATGTAGATTATAATTATTGACATATTTGGATTTATTTTTTACCTCATTTTATACTATTTACTCTGTTTTCCTCCACCCCCAACTTTAAATAGAATTCCACCTCATTTTCATTGGTATGAAAGTCATTGTTTTCTGGTTTTTTTGTAGTTACCTTAAGTAGTTTTTCTTCTACCTAAAATTTTTACAGTATTGCTCTGAAAACAAGACGACCTTACAAGAAACCAGACAGGATCTGGAGTCACACAGATTCCAAATCTACTGTAATCTCAGCTCTGTCATTTACTAGCCATATAACCTTGGAAAATTCCCTACTATCCCTTAGCTTGTTCCTCAATTGTAAAATGAGGTTGTTATAAAGCTTACATGAGGCAACTTATTTTAAGAAGCTATGGACAATACCTGGGTTATAGTAAATGTTTAAAAAATGGTAGGCTTCTGGATATAAATAGGTGTGGGTTCAAGTCTTAGTTCTAAAAGGGAAAAAAGGCCATTATTTTGTTAAGTGTATGTGTGTGTGTGTGTGTGTGTGTGTGTGTGGTGGTGGTGGGGGGGGGCAGGGGGATTATGGCAGGGGGATTATTTCCACTAAGAAGAAACCTTTCCAGTCCTAACTACAATGTCTGAAACTATGAGAATAATCCTTTAACATCAACTTGGTTAACATAAAACTAAACTTACCCTTTATGATATATGCATAGACAAGGCAGTCGTGCTATGGTATCTCCCTGTTGCAATTCTTCAAGGCATATTGCACATTCCCCAGCATCTTTACTCAGTACATCCTCTAAAGAAAGAGAAAATCAATTCAGGACAATAAAATTATCCATCAAATTGAAAAAGAATTATGTGAATGTTAATATATAAAGAGTAGCGTATCTTGTTTTATCAGAAATACATAAAACTCAGCATCTATATTTTAAATACTATTCATAAACAAGTGAATAATGTTTACCCTTACTTACAGTGTCTCACATTGCCATTTCTACTTTACTGAGACATTACAAAAAGCAAAAAAAGTACAGAATTCCCCAAACGGCAAAGGATTTTGCTCTACAACTTTATCATTAAGTCAGTTATTTATAATGTGGAATTAATTTTCCTTCTATTAATCTATATTAGCTTGGTGCCCAAGATGGTTGAAAAAAGTTTAGAGTATAATGTCGCAGAAAAGACAGGAAAATAAAATACTACTATAATTTTTAAAATTCTAAAATAACAAAATTGGATAAGTTCAAGAAATCACCCTACATATGGGACTTTTAAAAGGCTTCTTAACTTAAGAAAATGCAAAGGAACATCAAAGGTTTTGTGTAGATTCCGAAAGAGACTTTTGGAAACTTGAGAATTTCAGACATGGATGTAGCAATTCTTAATAATCTTTTTCCAGGACAATGCCAAGCCTACTCTAGGCAGCAATTAGAGTGGCTTCCAGAGGGACCTGCAGGGTAGTTTAAAAACTTTATGGTATTAAACATTGACGGTGTTAAAATACTCCAGGAGTAAACGGCTTTATAAAGCAAAAGTTCCTTTTGAGAAAATAAAAACATTCTCTCAATTCATGTTTTATTAAGGCCGGGTGCGGTGGCTCACACCTGTAATCCCAGCACTCAGGGAGGCCGAGGCTGGAGGATCATTTGAGGTCAGGAGCTCAAGACCAGCCTGAGCAAAAGCGAGACCCCATCTCTACTAAAACAGAAAAAAGTTAGCCAGGCATGGTGGCATGCGCCTGTAAGTCCCAGCTACTGAGGAGGCTGAGGCAGGAGGATCATTTGAGGCCAGGAGTTCGAGGGTGCAGTGAGCTCTGATGATGCCACTGCACTCCAGCCTGGGTAACAGAATGAGACTCTGTCTCAAAAAAAAAAAAAAAAAAATTCATATGCCCACACCTCCTGTAAAAACCAACAAATTCAATTGTTGCACATATGTATTATAGTTCCTTATAGAAAAATTCATGCTATGAGAAGTGGTTCTCCATTTTAATCTATTCATTTTGAGACAGCACATTAAGAGTAAACACGGAGGCTATTTGGTCTATAAAAGGGAAGGTATTAGCAGATGATTTACTCAGAAGGCTGGGGGAGATAACAGGGCAATTTCTGCAGAAGGAGGAAAGGCCTCAGAAAGAAGGGTTTATACTGGCTGAATCTAAGCAATGTGTCAGGAGGGATTTTAGCTAACTACTGGGTAGCTCACAAGCTAATATATTACAATCAGAGACTTAAGCATGAAAAGATTTCTGGACAAGCAAACCTGTATAAACAGAAAGTATTGTTTATTACCACTTCCCTCAAGTTTCCTTTCCTCATTATTTTTCTCTTGAATCTGGAAGTCTCACCCACCATCCCCACCCCACCTGACTCCATACCCCAAAGCGTTTTCTCCTTTTGATCTCCATTTTTCTCTTATTGTTCTGGTATCTTTCAAGAAAAGATTCAGAATAGGGAACCAGTTTAATGCAAAGCACCTAGCTAGAATGATGGCAGTGAGAACAAAAAGAAAAGGAAACACTAAAAAAAAAATCTTAGTGAAGGGCTATAATTCCAAATAATATCATATATTCTTACCACTTAGATTTTTCCTTTTTACCACAAATATATCAACATTTTAAAAAAGAATTATGTGAAGATAAGTACCATAACAAACTTCAAAAAAAAAAATCAACCATCACTTTTTATCAAACCTAGGACCATCAATGATTATAAGATGCACCATTAGCTTTTTTTTTTTTTTTTGAGACAGAGTCTCACTTTGTTGTCCAGGCTAGAGTGAGTGCCGTGGCGTCAGCCTAGCTCACAGCAACCTCAAACTCCTGGGCTTGAGTGATCCTTCTGCCTCAGCCTCCCGAGTAGCTGGGACTACAGGCATGCGCCACCATGCCCGGCTAATTTTTTTATATATATATCAGTTGGCCAATTAATTTCTTTCTATTTATAGTAGAGACGGGGTCTCGCTCTTGCTCAGGCTGGTTTTGAACTCCTGACCTTGAGCAATCCGCCCGCCTCGGCCTCCCAAGAGCTAGGATTACAGGCGTGAGCCACAGCGCCCGGCCCCATTAGCTTTATATACCACCCAGTAAGAAAAAAATGCCTCTATTAAACCATGACATAGCATAATTTAAAGCGCATCTCATTTCCAGAGCTATAAAGTTCGACCAAAAAGTGCATGATGGACTAGGGTATCACGTTTTCCATCTTTTGGAATATATTAGCAATGTATCTAGATTTAAGTAAAAATGAAGCATCAAATCTCATTTTTCATAAATTAAGAAAATGAGACAAAACAGTTTTTAACCTAAAGAAACATTTCTGGCCAGGCGCGATGGCTCACGCCTGTAATCCTAGCACTCTGGGAGACCGAGGTAGGTGGATTGCTCGAGGTCAGGAGTTTGAAACCAGCCTGAGCAAGAGCAAGATCCTGTCTCTACTATAAATAGAAAGAAATTAATTGGCAAGTGAATATACATATATATATATATATATATAAAATTAGCTGGCATGGTGGCGCATGCCTGTAGTCCCAGCTATTTGGAAGGCTGAAGCAGGAGGACTGCTTGAGCCCAGGAGTTGGAGGTTGCTGTGAATTAGGCTGACACCATGGCACTCTAGCCCAGGCAACAGAGCGAGACTCTGTCTCAAAAAAAAAAAAAAAAAAAAAGAAAGAAAGAAACATTTCTGCCATCTAAGTCCATGATTCGCAACACTAAATGGAAATAAGTAGAAATCTACTAGGTACAGGCTTCTGAATACATTGTTGACAGAAAAATAACTGTCTTGCAACGCTTCTACACTGATCTATGTTCAGATCGTATTTCTTTATTACAACAGATTTCTTAAAGTCTTTGAGGGGAACAAAAGCCCCCCAAAACCTGCCACTGTTCTATTATATAGAGGTTTCTAGCTTAGGTTAAAAGAGAGAGAGAGTGAGAGAAAGAGAGAAAGAAAATAAAGTCTTTGAGATGAAAATAATTTTAATATTTTAAAAGGTCTCAATTTTATCTTATTTATAAGAAAATTTATAATATAACAAAGACCAATCCAATCTGCCTATAATTAACAGAATGATATATATTTTAAGAATATAATGCTATTTTAAAATTGACAGGGGCAAGAATTATCCCACATATGCTTTGCAGGTACTAAGTATATAAAATCTTTTTAGTTTAATTCAGAATGCTGTATTAAAGTCAGTCACTTTAATCATAAACCCCCTTAAAACCCAGTAATGAAAAAGAGTCAGAACTACCCTTCAAACTATATTTTCTATATCAAAAAAGGTACACCTATATACAAAAACATCCCAAATACATTGATTTCAATGCAAAAGCAGCCCAATATCCACTATAGTTTCTAGTAAAATTATCTCTGCTCAGAAAATTAAAAGCTAATGTTAACATACTGCAGCCAAAGCTCAACTGCATTTTGATAACCAACTCTTGAGCCAGAAGACAGTTCACTCTTACTGTAAAACTTCATGACTACTGCTTCAACTAGCAAGTGCTTAGTTTTCAAATCTTAAAGTCTTGTTTCCAATACAACCTGACTTTGAATGTTGGAAAACATTTTCAGCTTTAAAAATTTTGAATTCACTGTGCAATGTGATTAATTTTTGCTTACCTGGGGATTTGCTAGAATATTCCTCTCTCCCACCCCATTATAACACTTCCATTCAAAGGAAAGGTTTGAGCTTTTGCCTTTACAAGGGGAACTAAGTTTTACAATTGTGAAAGAGTTGTTAGTAATATGATACAGTCATTGTTAAATAGGGCCTGGAAACACTGCTAAATCCAGGACACTAAACCATCTTCAAGACAGTTGGGAAAAGATTATTAAAAGCTTTTAGTCAATCAACTGAAAACATTTATGAAGATACTATCCACAGGCACTAAGAGGTTAACACTTACAGTCTGGAATACCTTGGAGCAGAATACTAATTAGCCAAAACTGATGTCAGAAAAGCAGAGAAGGGAACACTAACAGATTTAACTACCATAGTTGGCTAGTCTGGAATCTTCTTCCACCAATGATGATCAATGGAAATATATGAGATTGCAAATAAGGAACTAAAGTGTTGCTTTTTAATACATGTTGTTGATCTCCTTCCTAAACATCTGGAGTAGTATAAGTTAAATCAGTGCATTGCTTATTGGTCTCTTTGTTTTACTCATATGATCTATGCATTAATTTAGATACACTGATACAGGAAAAGAAAAGTTAAAAGACTAGAAAACAGCAATGATTTTTAACCAGAGGTAGACAAAAGACAGAATCACTTTTGGGGGTGCATTCTCAACACAGAAAAAAAAGGCATATGTATCTGAGTTCTATTCCTACAGATTCTGAAATATATACCTGCCTCAGACACACAACTGCTGTCGAAGAAATGACATGCTGAAGTAGAAAGCTAAGATTTCAAGTTGAAACTTCATATGAATTCCCATTCTATTAGTCAGCTATATAACCTCAAAAATCTTAGTCAACCTCGAGTTTCCTTTTACTCTTCTTTAATATTAGTACACTAAAGGTACTCAGAATATTATAGAGATGAAATTTTAAAGAATTAAGTGGAAAAAAACTTCATATGTTAAAAAAATATCATACAAAATATTAGGTTTTTTTTAATCAGGAAGTATTTTATGCACCTCTCCAAAAACAAAAGTGGTCATCTTTCAGTTTCTTTTTCTCCCCATCTTTGCATTCTAGTTGTTTCAAACTTATATAATGCCATCAAATAACCCCAAGACAACTAGGAACTTCTATACGATATATTTTCCAGCACCTATTATAA